CACTGATTTCAATGTTTTACCACTCAATTTTTGAAGATGTCAAAACGCTTAAAAGGTATCAGACGTTTCTGCGCACAGCCTTTACTGCTTGACGCTCAACGGCGGTTTAATTCCACGTCGGTGGTTGGAGCGTTCCTCGCCAGGCGGCGCCGGAGAATGCAATAATCAACTTAATCTACGCAGACGGTCGTCCTCCAAATTCATGAGCGTCGCCGCCGTCACCCGGAAACAGTAGCGTCTGCGACGGGTTCCATCACGCGCGAGACGCAACGTCTTGCTACACCGAGCACGCTGACAGCCGCCTGGCCAAGCGCGAGTGGCTGGAAGTGCTGTAAGCATTACGGCGACGTTCAAAATCCATTGACGAGATGGGCAGCAAGTAAGTCCGTCCAACCAAATCAATACCGCAGTAGACCTTGCCGCCACCGCTGCCTCCTGCTTACTGCTGCTGATCTTCTAGCGACGGATGCTTCGGCGGTAGAGGTCCCGTATGGCTGGCACTCAGCTTCCGGCAGAGGGGCTAACGGCCAGGAAACCTGTGCTGCTTTGGCACTGGTGCCGTCGGCTGAGGCTGCGCCGCCGCGATGGGCGGCCCCTGCCAGAAGCTGGGGATCAATGGCCCCAAGGGTCTCACGCGGTCACTACTCTACTGGAGCTTCCAACTAATCTGCAGCCTCCTGCCACTCAAGCGGCCACAAACCTGATAAACTTTGCAATGTTTGCCATGATAAGCACTTTTTTCCTCAGGATAAACATTTAGCATTACGTAAAGTTACCACTTGTGAGAGTTACGCTTAGCTATTCCTTCAGTACAAACTATAAGCAAGCCAAACATTTTTTTGGTTCTAAATGGTCATCTGTGCGAAACCTGCGAATTTATTTACTACACGCCTAGAAGCCAAATTAACCTCTTCGGGGTGGCCAATTTTCTGAAGGAAAAAATACTTTTCTTGTTTTTCCAGGTTTGATCCTGGAAAAAGTTTGGAGTTTGTCACGAGATAAAACGAAATAAAAGCAAGGCCTCGGTCAAAATTAAAAAGCAGACAATCGCTGAGCCCCCTTTCTTCGTGCCATCTCCACGTGCTTATCCACTAATAAAGAACGGTTCAATACAGTATCTCTCGCAACGCAATTTTATTTTATATCGTAAAAAATATAAAATTATCTGTCTCAATAATTGTGAGAAAAACAATATGCCAACATTTCTTAAATAATGTGCAGTTTCATGATACCAATGAGTGACTTGAAATTACTTCCACTTTTAAAGAATTTAATATTTTTCTAAAATTCTTTCAATTCAGTGAAATTTACCAACTTCTCTTTTTCAGAAAATGACCACCCTGACATTTCACATAATATACAATCTAGCTTACTGAAATAAAACTATTAATCTCTATTGCCATTAAGTCACGTCGCATTATTTCTACAATGAAACAATTGCATTAATAAAAATAAAATGATTAGTTTTCCAACCACATAAAAGAAAGCTGCATCTAAGCAACTTACCTTCATGCGACCACGCTGGAACCGGCACAACCTCGCTGACGTTTGTTCGCATACCTACCTGCAGGTATGTCGAAACTACACTATTGGTTATGGAAGGTACGAGTGAATTTGAGGCCAGAAAAGGAATCAATGCAATGTTACATTTTACATCTTCAAATAAAGACATTAAGACTAATTACAAAAAACTAAAGGAAACTCATTAAACCACTGAGTATGAATTGCACGAAACTGTCTAATGAGCATGAAACCGAAAATGAAAAGTGACGAACCAATGAAGAGCTTAGTAGGTAGATAATCTATTATTACATCAAGAGAAAATATTGCACCCCCTTTTAAGCATACTACGCGCACTGACGAGTAAATTTTAGAATAGTGTAAGTTCATATGGAGTAGTGCGGAATGTTCATATGGAGTAGTGCGGCCGATATTTTCGGACGGGTTCAGCTAGTAGAATTTATCTAGTTAATAGTAAAAAAGTTTTAATAAGCTCGTCATCCTGTTAAATATCTTTTTCAACAAGTTAACTATTAATCGTAAATTCCTGGTGGAGAGAGGAATGGAACACTTTTTTACTACAGTCTATTATCTGTTGAACAACGTTTTATAACCAATTTCGACACTTTTTTTTGAAAATTTAACCATTTCCTTTCTTCTGCAGCATTTAATAAGGAAAGTATTTAAGCTCGGGTCATTGTCCCCAATTAGTTTGCGATACGTTGCCGTGTACCAAATAATGTGGAGTATGTGTGGAGCGAGTCATGTCTTTGAACAGTAAGATCCCGTTATTCTTGCAAAATGTCTAAATTAATTTTAATATTCCCAAGGAAATCTTCAAAACTGGTTAAGCATAATGCAATAATGTAATCACTCATTAAAACTCATTATTCGAATAAAAAATAATTTTAGATGTATAAATAAAATTAACATATGGAATGTATTGTTCATTTGTAATGTTCGTATGTCACAATCAATCTGTCACATACACTAACGACGAGACTGATCGACATATTCACAAGTACAGATTTTTACCAAGTGTTCAAATGAGGACATAACTATACTCAAATATTTTTTTACTGATCGTAAATCAAATAATTGTGTCAAATATTCGACAAAAAACAGGGCTTTACGGAGATCGGCCGCATTAGGAGGGGCGGCCTTTTCCGGATACTGCTTACGCAGTCTAGAGAATTTAAATACTGAAAAAAAAAAGAAAAAAAAACTTTTCCGGATATTGGAAAAGCGAAAAAGTCTATAAATAGTTCCTGTATTACTATCTCCCCTAATATATATAGCTTACCATTCGGTGTGTCCTTGATACAGAAAAATTGGATTAAGGCAAAATCGTCTGACACTCCGGCGGCTGAGTAGCGGCTAAACCGGAGGCAGGATTATCTGAAAATTTGTTATTTCCCGAACAACCCGACTGATGGCGGTCCCTTGAATTTGAAAATATTTGAGGCAGTACTTGTCAAAAATAAATTTTATTTAAAGTTTAAACAATATTTTCTATTTTTAATTTCATTTTAACTATTCAAATGTACAATATTGGCTAATGTTGGTTCGACTGCGCGTGTTTCTTTTCATATTTCCCTCCCCCTACACGGAATTATGGGAAAGAAATAACGAGACCTAGCGTCATTCAATTCATTCATATTTCCCTCTTAATCGTGCGATCCGCGAAAGTTACATTCTGTAACGAAGCAATAATGTACCAATACAAAATAAAATTATCAGAAGGCGCAACGCGCCGCGTCGGATGGGCTCTCCTCCCCGTCTCTCGAGAAAAATCTTGGTTGCACTACTTTCATATGTAATTTTAACACAAGGTGTTAACTAACTCTTAGTTTCTCTAATGTTAATCTTACAATATTTACTTTTCTGAATGTCAGTTTATAGAATTATTTAAAGAATTTAAAGTTTTCTATGAAAAATGTTTCAGTGATTTATCCCGTCATCCGAATTTCCGCAAGTCCAACTGAACACAGATACCGATTTAAATTGGATTCGGAGTTACACCGCAAAGCATTTTGCAGGAAACGCACCCAACATTTTCTTCTGAACGGACATAGAGGAAATTGTAACCACTTGAAATGAATTTCGGAAAATTGAAAACTTATAAGGAATCTACATTCCGTAGTACTGGTATGCTCTGGGGCTCCGAGAGCTGCTCCATGAAAATAAATCGGCAGTCACTACGGCATCAGAGCGGAAAGGCACACGAGGTAAACAACCGCAAGGAAAACTACGTCAATGTACAACCATGGCAATTGAAAGTAACCTGTCCTCAGTTTAGAGAATTATTTTAAGATTTCAACTTACCACACTTCCTCTCAAATTATTGCATGGATGTGATGGAAATGTTTTATACATCACAATCCCACGAACACTTGCAAAAATGACCACTTTTTGAATTTACAGCCATAAAGTTAGATTTAGCGAATGAATTTAAAACTAGTCATTTTAAAATATATTCAAAATTTTTTTCTTCTATCTTTTCTTCTTTTTCTTCTGGTATATTTTACAGTCGCAATGTCTACTTCACTGAAAGAAAATTGAGAACGCATTTACTGGAAGTACTATCGGGTGTTTTCTAACTTATCCATAACATTTTGTTCACATGTTATCAGGAAATCACAAGAAAAATGCCACGCAGCAGCTGGCTGAGAAAAATTTCATATGCCAAAAACTAACCGAACGGCTAAACAAAGAGCCCCCTAATCGGAATCACCGCCTCGCGCAACTGTTACAACAATCGCTCGCGAACATGAAGGGGATGGGCACGGAACTTCGTGAACGTTCGCAGCCGAGAGAGATGTGGGCGAGCGAGTTGAAGTGAATCCAATAATCCGGCGGGCGGGCGGGCAGCGCCGTGCTGTCGCGGGCGTATCAGCACGGCGCAGCGCCGATGGCACCTGTTTTTCTGCGCGCCCGACAACACTGACGCGGGCACGCCAAAGCGAGCGAGCTAACGTTCGCTCTCGCGCGCGCGGACCCACCGCGGGATGCGGGCGAATTGGGGAGCTGCTTTGCATATCAAAGCCGCCCACGGCTCCGGCAACGTGAACGGGATGTCGATGAGAATGTTATCGCGCATTAGAACGCGCTGTTTGTGCGACGTGGCGATGCGCAACTACACCGCCGTATAACTAAGTTAATGAAACCGCAACAGGTAAGCAGTCGAGAATCACCCGAGAACTAAACAAGCGCAAGGTCGACAACAATTGGGCAGACTTGTAGAAGGTCAAAAATAAATTTTATCGATAAATGGACCAAGAGGTCAATGTAAATTTGTTGGGTCTTGTCCCTCTTCGTAACGAATTATTCTGACGACGAGAGATTTGAGAACGAAAGCGAAGAACGGGTGGCGGGAACGCTGACATGCCGGTGGTTTAAATGAGGGCGCGTCTTCATCAAAAAGACAAAACACGTTGGGGAAGACTCAAAGATTGTTTATGTTGATCGCGTTGGCCAGAGGCCGGAGTCTCTTCATGAAAATGGACACCGTAGCAAATCGTCAATTCGCCCGAAATGTTCCCGGTTATAAATATGCCATTCCGCTCGAAGGTACGTAGTGTTTTCGCTGTTCACGCGGAAGTGAGTAGATTCCTTCACATTCATTACGATAAGGGAGAAGAGCCCTATTTTGCTCCAACTTTGAGAAAATTTCCACACAAGATAAAAAGTGGACACGGGAAAATGTTATAATTATAGAAAACTAATTACTTTTAAACATTAATACATAAACTTATAAAAAAGTAATCGTTCAAGAAATCCAATGCCTATGATTAACTTCAATTTAATGATGTTACTTCTGTACCAAGAAAGAAACCCGCTTCTTGTCTGAAACCTGTACATGTGTATACACAAGTCTAGAATATAGGTCATCTCAGAAGAATTAGATTAATGTTATTTCAAATTCATTCACTCCTTTCAAAATGTAAAGAATTCAATCCATTCACTTCTGGCAGACACTCATTTTTAAAAATCACAAGTGTTAAATCCATGCCCTTCATAAGAAAAATTAGGTCACTTCTTGTCTTAAACATGCCCAATGATCTTCAAGAGGAATTCACAAGAAATGTGAATTGTTCACATAAGATCTCCACTTCCTTTTTTATTACCAAACTTACCATGACTAAGGAAACCTGAGCCAATGAGATCAATTCAAATATTAAATGGCAAAGTTTTGCAAAATTAATAACCATGTTCATAATTTATGAACAAATAAATAAATTAAAATTTTACTTTTGCTGCTCTTGTCAGAAAATACATAATACATTTAATAATTATAACTACTGTATTGTACTCGGCTCATGTGAATCCAACAACCTGTGTCCTTGGACAAAATTTCTCAACAACGAACATTCCAATTTTATTCTCCCTCAAATGTTGCACATTAGTAACTCAACTTGGCATATTCACCACAAAATAATAAATATACTGGGCAATACCACATTTAAAATTCATTAAATGTACTTGCTCATGAAAATGATTATTACAAATCAAAATCAGAATTTGGTAATTACTACCTTTAAATATGAGCACACCTAATTATGAATAAATATTCTCCATTAAAATAATGAACTTATTTGCCATCTTTTGATCTACGTGCAGAAAGTTTAAAATTCAAAGTAGAAAATTCCCTTCAAACTAAATTGAAGCTAATACTGTAGTTTATATATTTATGTATTATATTATAGAATTCAACATTTTCCGATATGAATGTGAAAATTCCCTCCAAACTAAATTGAAATTGATTCTGGAGTTTATATATTTATGTATATATAAACTGCAGAATTAATGGTATATATTTATCTAAAACTTCAGAATTAATTTCAATTTAGTTTGGAGGGAATTTTCACATTCATCATATTGGAAAATGTTGAATTACATATAATAATCTATATAATATGACTTCCTCAAAACATTTCTGAGTTAAGATGTTCTGATTGGTTGCTTCTCAAAATATTAAATTTTCCCAGTTAAAAAAACTATGATGTCAAACATTTTGTGGTCAAAATTTTCATTTAATGCATCAACAGGCTTTTGGATTTTTTTGAATGGTTTGATTTTTCTGACAGTTGAATTCTATCAACATATCTAAGAATTAAATTATCTGATAGGCAAGAAGGCAAGTGTCAAGTTAAAATTTACACTCCATCTCCAATATTACTGTTAAAACATTTTAGCAAAACTGTTTGTAGCAACACAAAACATCGAAAATACATATTCACTTAATTAAAACAATCATCCCAAACACAAGAAAATGAAAACAATAAGCAATTTTCACAAAATTAGACATCCCATTCACAAAACATAGAAATACAAAATTAGGCTTAATCTTCATAAAAATAAGGATGACACTGAACAAACATCAGACTCAACATCTTGCCTTCATGCCACATGCACGAGCAACCTGTGTATGTCTAACCTAGCTTGTAATCTACTTTACAATGGCCTGTTGAATTTATACAGTATTTTAAAGAAAAAAAATGCTCTCACAGAACAGAAAATGCAGACAGCCTGTTCACACATATTCACACATCAATTCATACTATTATTTGTAACACAATGCTGAAACAAAGTGATTTATCACAGCTCCAACAACCCATGCCCTCATCCATACTCACCTGAGCATTAACCCACCATTTTCCAACAGATGCATCATTAGAATTCAGGACAGATTTTGGAGGGCACACCCTCTGTTACTGGGCAATAATGAATTATGATGATAAAATTGGTGGGGAAAGAAGGCCAAGTCGTAAATAAAGGTTATGAAGGTGGTTTCATATCTTTATTATGAGGAAAGTTTCATCAATTTACTTTTCCCGTCAGGCTCCAATGGAATTTTGGAAATGTGTCACGGAATTTGAGATACAAGCAGGTGCAGACTTCACAGATAACAGGGCCGGGGCCAGGTGGAAAACAAACGAGCGGGCGGGCTTGCGAGCTTCCTCAACAGGCTGCTATACGGATTCCCTCAGTAACAAATGGAGTTAGCAAAGGGGTCTCGGACTCAAACATGCTCCAGGGGAAGCCATACAAGAGATTATTTTGGTGGTAGAGCTAATTCATTAGACGATGGAGAGGGCATGGGGGTGGTTGGAACCAGGAACTTCACACCTAAGATACAAATGACAAGTTATTAGAATTATACAATTTTGTAGAATTCTAAAACTTGTTGGTATTTATTCCTAAGTGATATGCAAAATTCAATACAAGAGTTACAACATTCACATGTTTCTAAAGGCAACTAATTGAAACAAATTCAAAATAAAATCCAAAATACAACGCCCGAGTGCACATTTAAAAAAATAAAAATAAATCAAACGCCGAGAATGTGATTAAAAAAATATAAAACCCGAAGAGCAAGCTGAATTGGATAATCGAGGACATCAAAAGGCTAGGCCTAGGTCAACTGGAAGGAAGCAAGCAGTTAACGTTTACTAGGTTATGATCTTTGGCCGTTCCGTGAACTTCACTATCTAACCATCGCAAATAAATTAAAGCATTACACAAACGTGCGTCAAGTTTAGAAAGTGAACTGCGACGAACAAATCTATTACTATCAACCATCCATAAGAAAACCCCGCATCCGCATACCTACACGTGCCATGTACCCACTACGCCGTAAATGACTTACGAAATGTATTTTAACTACAATTAATCGTAACATACCCCAGTACAATAAGTTACTCGATCCATAAATACCATCTACATTCCGTAAATATAGTGTTTCCGCGCTTATTAATTACCTCAATACGGCAAACACACAAGATGGCTTCACTCCAAAGGGACCAAGTTTGTTCACGTAAGGCCAAGATCCAGGATAATAAGTAAAAATATCACATACATGGATAAAGGAAAAGTTAAAAAACATACCTTGATAAACTCAGGAAAAGACTGGCAGGTCCAGGAATAACCGGGATTGTTTCTGGGGAACAGAAACAGGTCACAATCAAGGAACACTAAGTGTGGCAGCCTGACGGCGTTGTTCCAAGGGCAAAGTGGACGCGTGGAAAATGGCGACGAATATCGATAGTGCCATGAAGATACGTATTCATCCGCAACTTGTAATTGTTCTTTCTACCCCAATATTTGGATTAATTTGCGCATGTCAACAATATTTGAAGACCATATTCAATCTTCTTGTTTTTAAACTTAAATTGCTCATTATAAAAGAAAATAAAAGTTGGACTATTTTACTCTAGTTATCGACCGTTGTACAGAGTTGGGTAAAATTACCGGCAACACCTGTAGTATGACGTTGCATTATGATTAATGTATTTCAAAAACACAGAGTACTATCACTCATTATCATGCACCTCTACTTATTCCACTGTACAACACTGCATTTCATTTTGTTGGCTGTATACATCAGAATGTTCTCTTTACTTTCCTCTCTCCAATTTGTACAGTTCTTTCAGTATGTTAAAAAGGATTGTATTTTCCTTCGACATTTCAATCGCGAATTTCAGATTTTAAAGACTCGTTAGTACTTATAGAAGGCTTTATTCAAAGGATTAAGAACCTGCAATGAATTTTAACGTTTTGTAAGAGTACTAACAGGAGTTATCTCCGGTGTTACATAATCTAGGATTACCAAACGAATTTCTCATGCATAAAAAGAATGAGTAGAATTTGTGCAACGACGAGGCCAAGCACAAACTTTACGGAGAAAATTTTTGAGGGCATAAAAAATGTATTCAAAAGAAACGGAGCAATATATAACGAGCGAATTCCCATTGTTGAATGGTAAGTTTAGAGCGCGCTTGTATTATTGCGCTAATTCAGGTGCGAAATTTAAAACAAACCTTTTCTGTCGGTTGTTTTTTATTTGCCACTTTCGGCGAACTATAGTTTACCCGATAACAATATATTAATGAAAATAATAATGCAATTTCTCCCAGAGAATAATTGTTGGTAAAGTTTCGTTAACTGACAATTGACATGAACTTTGTTCACAGGCATCTGCTACTTAGATCATGCAGGTGCTACCCTTTATGCCAAAAGTCAGATGAATGCAGTTCATAAAGAATTAAATGAATCCGTGTTTGGGAACCCACATTCTCTTAGTATAAGTAGTAAGCATACAACTGATGTTATTGACCAAGTGAGATACAGGTGTGTCCCAATATAGTTGTAATAATTACAAAAATAACCTATGGAAATAATATTTGATACATAAATGTGTACTACCTACTTCTTTTGTAGGATATTGAAGCATTTTCACACAAATCCTGATGATTATTGTGTGATATTTACTTCAGGAGCTACAGCTGCTCTCAAACTTCTTGCTGAAAGTTTTAATTGGAAAAATGGAAACCCTGAGGAGAGAACAAGGAGTACAGACAATTCAGTCTCTCCTGGTCAAGAAATTAATTCGGAGAATAATTTAGATATTTCACCAAAAGAATCGTGTAATTGTGAATTTAAAGCACCTCTTTTGAAGGTACCAAATAGGGAAAAGGGTGGAACTTTAGTGTATTTGCAAGATAATCATACATCAGTATTAGGAATTAGAGAACTTGCAGCTCAAAAAGGAGCTTGTGTCCATTGCATGCCTCATGACTTTGCATTCAACACATTGGGAAGAAAAGAATCTCTGCCACAAATTCATAGTGACACTACAAAAACTAATTCATTATTTGTGTATCCTGCTCAGTGCAATTTTTCGGGTGTCAAATATCCACTTAGTTGGGTATCTAAAGTGCAGTCAGGGTTAATGAGCTGCAATAATGCAGAATGCTGTTACAATACTAAGTGGTACTGTTGCCTTGATGCAGCTTCATTTGTCTCAACCAATGATTTGGATTTATCAGTAGTGAAACCTGACTTTGTTTGTATTTCATTTTACAAAATGTTTGGCTTTCCTACTGGTTTAGGAGCCCTTCTTGTACGTAACAGTAGTGCACATACTTTGAAGAGAAATTATTTTGGAGGGGGCACTGTTCAGATTTCTTTAAGTACTGAAATGTTTTATGTACCAAGATATTCCATTAGTGAGAGGTAAGGTTTATTTTTGATAAGTTGTAAGTTTATCAGAAATATTATTTACAGAAATCCATGTTAAGTATGCTTTGTCATGGTTGTCTTTCTTTTAGGTTTGAAGATGGAACAGTTTCCTTTTTATCAATCGTGGCTCTGAGACATGGTTTTGATACCTTACAGTCTTTAACAGGAGGAATGGTTAATGTGGCACTACATACATTGTTTCTGTCAAGATATGTACATCACAGCTTGTTATTGATGCATCATGGAAATGGCAATCCTGCTGTTGTTCTATACTGTGACACTGATTATGAAGATTTTTTAACTCAAGGAAATATTGTAAATTTCAATTTATTGAGATCAAATGGAGAGTACATTGGCTTTGCTGAGGTATTTTAATTTTATGACAACCAATATATATCCAAATTTGTTATTAGTATTACTCAGACTTCAATTTTTACAGGTTCTTCATATGGCAAATTTGTATGGAATCCACCTACGAACTGGATGCTTTTGTAATCCAGGTGCATGCCAAAGACATTTAAATCTAACTGTCAATGATTTAAAAGGGCATTATGAGGTAGTAAATGTCTTTAATTAGTTATTGTAAATCCATGTTATAAAATGTTATGTCAGATCTGCACATTTGTAGTATGAATTAATTTTTATTAGGTTGGTCATATTTGTGGAGATGAAATGGATTTGATTGAAGGCCGACCAACTGGCTCTGTTCGTATCTCATTTGGTTACATGTCAACAAAACACGATGCTGATAAATTTCTTGATATGATTACATCATGTTTTATTGATGCACCTCTTTTGATGCACGTGCCTCAATGGTGGCCATATTTCAGAAGAACATATAGAGAAAAATTCAATATGAAAAAATTGAAAAATGGTATTTATCCATCAACCAGTAACGCAGGCACAGATTTCAAAACTGAAAATTATAATACTGTGGTAATCAAAGATCAAACCTTTGACATAAGGAAGATAAATGCATTAACAGAAGAAATTGAAATAAATGAAATTAAAGATAAATTCAAACTATCAAATGATGAAATTCTGAGTGCTAAAGCCAAACAAAGTTTAAACATAAGTTCTAAAGAAGACCAAGTTCATTATGATTCTGTAAAAAATAAAGAAAGCTACCATCTATCAAATATTTTTTTATACCCAGTAAAATCTTGTGGTCCGATGACAGTTGAAAATTGGGAAGTCAACTCTCGAGGATTAAAATATGATCGTGAGTGGATGATAGTCAATTCATCAGGTGTTGCTCTAACACAAAAGCAAGAAACCAAACTCTGTCTCATAATGCCGAAAATTGATTTAGAAAATCAAAACTTAATCCTGGAATATAATGGTAAAATCCTGTCTTTGGCTTCTCTCAATGTTATTGTTGTTTTTTGGGGGGGATCATTCAATCAGTGATCTCTTTTTCATAACATTTTCTAGGAACCTCACCCATTAGTGTTCCCCTGAATCACCCACATTTTGATCATAAGAATGATAGGGAAGCTTCACTGTGTGAAAGTAAAGTGTGTGGTGATTATATTCAGGGTTGGGACTGTGGGGACGATGTAGCTGTGTGGCTCTGTAATACTTTGGACCGAGATGGTCTTCGTCTTCTGCAACAAGGAAACATCAAACCTAGAAACAACAAATATAAATCAAAAAATATGAATAAAGGTATATTTAAATAAAACAATTCTATTATGTGTTTTTTATTGCCACTTTATTCTAGAACTAATAATTTATTATTAACTTTTATGTTTATGTTTCTCATTAAGTATTAATGGGACTTGTTAATGTAAATTGCATTGTTTCAACTGCTCATTGAGAAGTTTACAAAATTATTTCCATTGATTGGTTTATCAATGGAAAATAACCATTAATGTGTTGACTGTACATAGTATTTACTTGCTTTGTCTTTATTTTCCAGATTTACCTCAAGCAGAAATTTCTCTTGCTAATCAGTCTCAATTTCTTCTTTTAAATTCTGCAAGTGTCCATTGGCTGAAAGAACAACTCATGGATAAAAGCTTGACTACAGTATATATTTGGTTTTCATATCCTTATACCTGTAAATTTAAAAGAAAAAAATTATTATAAAATGTTACATCACTCTAGTCTTGTTATAAAATTTATTTCTGAAAAGCATTTAATGGAATTTTTCTCTAAAATTACGTTTTGAGAGACAAATGGAATTCTTCTTTCATATTGAAAGTCAAAATATGGATAGAAATTTTAAAAAATTGTTTTGGTAGTTTATTTTTCCTGTTTCATGGTTTATTACTGAGCATGTAATTATTTATAGTTACACGCTCAGCTGAGAGTCGAAGAGTGTGAAGAATTGAATAAATTGTTTGGTTTTAAAAATTCAATATTTTTAAGTCTTGATACTAAAAGAAATTATCAAACCCAAATTTGAATTAAGTCATAGTGACATGAAAAAATGGATTAAGTTTAAAATAGAGGCTAGTGAGGCAAAAGTGAAATTAAAGTTGACAACTGCTACTTTGAAGGTGAATATATTCAATGAGCTTGACTGCTAGATAGAAGAAATTAGTGCATCTTCAGTCATCTTGAATTGCGAAAAAGTGATTTTTCGAAACATCCATCCATCAAACCGTGAACAACACTACACTATAGTATGCAGGGTTCTCACCAAAACACATACCTCTAAATCAATATGGTTGATTTCTCATTCCTTTGAATTTGAAGTGGATCTTCTAATTGTTAGGTGTAGGTTTCATGAAGCCTAGAATATTTTCAATATTTCCTCAAAAATAACTCTTAGTGTTTTGCTTTGTTTTTTGTGGTCAAATAAAATACAGCTCACTTAATAATTCAACATTGGTCTCATTGAAATCTTTGGAATTTTTAAAATTTTAAAATTACAACTAGTTTTGATGTGTCAGCACTAACTAGCATGATAGTGTAAGAGCGTTGATAGTGGTATCTATGTGCAGAGACGGATCCAACGAATTTTGAGGGATGTAGATTTTTGTTAAATAATAAACATGTGTCATATTGTATATTAAATATGTACTGTAGATGTGATACTACACAATATTATTGTTTAATAATTTCATAATTCCCACATAAATAAATATTTAAATAAATTTTGCCAAATTGAGAAAGGTAAATGAAAACTACGCCTTTTGAGGCGGGGAGGCATGGCCCCTGTGTCCGTCCCCTTCCCCTGAATCCACCAGTGCCTCTATGATCTAGTTCAAATCCCAGCCTTGGAAAACATTTGAGGGGTTGATAATACTTCCAAAGTCTCATGTATCAATGAGTAATCCGTAAGTATAGTAAGCCATTGCTGGGCTTGATTACATATGCAATTATACACTATAAGTAAAATGGAAAATCAGAAAATATTGTGTCATGTCATTCAGTACATATTCTCCAAAATTAATGAAGTAAGGGAGGCTGACAAATTCTGGAACAATACAATCTCTTTCACTGTAAACTTAGTGTTAAACATATTTCCGAAAACGAAATTGAAAAGATATATATTTAGCTAGATCTGTCCCTCTGATGTTGCAGAGGGCTGTAGCGGGGAATTCTGCTAATTGCTGCACATGTAATGATAAACACTTTAACATTTTTGTAAAACAATTGCTGAACATTACATTTATATAAACTTGCTAATATTTACATTTAAAAACACAAAATCTTTGAACTCAAAAATAATTTTTACCTATGCTTTATTGACTATAACCTCACAAAACAACCAAGGCCTTTATTGATAAATTCCAACATGCACAATAAAATGGCAAACGTCTTAAATATGACAAATGACAGATTAGTGTTCCTTCTGTTAATTTTAGTATATAATCAAAATGTGTTTGTACTATATAAAACCTGTTACAAGAGCGAAAGATAACACATGTGGTGCCTTCTACCATTTAAAGCAAAAATCTCAAAATTTGTTTGAGTAGAAAACTCAAATTGCTTTCTAAACAAAAATCTTAAATGTTTTAAATATGAAAATAAGATTTCTGGTAATACAAGAAAGTATATGTAATTGTAGTGCCAGCTTATAATGCAATTAATATATTTATGACTTTATTTATTAAAGTTCTCATATAATTTATTCTCTAAATTTGTGGTTTTTGACTTTATTGTATAATGTTTTTTTCTAAATACTTTATTACCTTTGCAGGAAAACCTCATTCGAAGATTCCGTTGTAATTTTCTGGTTGAAGGTATCAATGCATTTGAAGAAGAAAAGTGGATTAAAGTGAGAATTGGAAATGTTGAGCTACAAGTGAGTTGGAAGGTGATGAAAATGCTACATTAATGAGCAATGCATCTCTTATTTTATAACATTGCCTTTTCTCATTTCAGGTGGAAGGTCCATGTACTCGTTGCCAAATGGTTTGTATAGATCAAGAAACTGGAGGAAGGTCCAAAGAGCCGTTGCGATCATTATCTGCAGCATTTCATGGAAAAATGAGGTTTGGAATGTACTTACAACACCAGGGACAGGGAAGAAGATCCATATCTGTGGGAGATCCTGTGATTATAACTTTGTAATCATTTTTTGCCGAATTGAATTAATATCACCCTTGATTATTTCAGAGCTTTACATGCTGACGTTGTATAAAGGGATCATTAGTGCTACAACATAAAAAGTCCATTTTTTGTACAAAAATTAATAGTTACATACAGTGAAACCGGCCCTATTATGTACATTTTTTTTACCTACCTCTTACATGCAGAGTAAGAAGTAGGCTGGGAAGCACCACTTCTTCCTGCTTCCTAACACAAATGATGGACAATAGAAGACAAAGATATAAAAGATGAATGAAGTCATTACAAACTAACAAAGCAGCATTTCACGACTACACACCCGCAGTAGATCATGTAACCATAATATTCAATTTTTGTATTCAAAACTCTTTACTTCCCGCATACATGAAAAATGTGATAGAAATAATGAATACCAAAATGTAATAAAGACCATTAGAAAATCAACAGTTACCAACCAGGTAGCCTTCTATTGATAACCAGTAAAATTCTCTGTCCTCAAGGTAACAATTAAAAAGACTCAATTTGACATCATTGAAAACAAACTCGCACAACTATGACACCCTTCTTCACCAAGGACATTTCAAAATTGCTACAGACCAAACAATCAGTTCTGACTGTTTTCACAGACATTTCCAAAGCCTTCGACTCTCTTAATACTGCTATTCAAACTAAAATTATTTATTCAACACTTTCTCTATCTCCTTTTGGAAACACCTGTCCAACTACTCCATCCTAGTCATGTTACCCAAGGTGTAGTCCTACCCCCAAGACATTTCGTAGTCTTTATTAATGACATCTCAAGTCTGTTAAGAGTTCTTGAATTCCTTTATGCACATGATTTCCGTGACACACTGATTACAAATTCCCTGACCAATGAGAACTAATGGCACTATAGAATGACACAGACGTTCTCACATTAGTTTTCTAATCTCTTTAGTCAAGTTTAGTTTAGTCTAAATTTTCAATGCTGCTCCACACTCTTCCTAGTTGCTATCTATCAGCGCCTGTAAGACAACTTTTCACATTTTATCAGTTTTTCAGGTCCCTACTACCCCCATTCTTTAGAAGTTTCTTGATTTCTCCAGAATATATTAAAGAAAAAAATCATGAAGACAAAATAGAATTCCAGAATATTTTAGTAGTTCTGTATTAATGCCATCATACAGGGGCTTTTCTATTTTTGCATTTTTCATGTGCTTCTTGTAGTTCATCTATCATTATGTCATCTGCATTTGTAGTTGTACATGTTTTTATTATTTCACATATTTTGTTGTACTAAAAGTGTTTATAACGTTTCACCCATTTTTCTTTTTCAGTTGCATTAATTTGTACATTCTCTCTTCTACTACTATTCAATATTTTCATTACCTTGTAGACTAATGTTTGTCTTCCATATATGTCATGTTGTATTCTTCCATAAAAATGTGGATCTTAATAGGCCTGATCATTTCATCTGGTTTTACTGCACTAAACATAAGATGGCACCTACTGCATCAGTATAAGGGAAATAAAAAATGATAAAGCATTTAACTAAGTTGCATTTATTTTGTCTTAGTGAAATATAATGTGAATATAATTGGGAAACGTGCAATTCTCGTAACTGAAAGAAAACAAATGGCATTGAATAAAGTAATATCTGCATGCCGCATATTATATTTTTCAGAACAATTAATTAAGAAAGTTGTATCTTAACTACAAGTTTCATAATAATAATATTAGATCTACATGTAATTAATATTGTGCCTGCATATTTATTTTGTTTGAAGATGTTTGTTTTGTTTTTAGCACCATAATACTTGTACAATATGTAGAAATCTGTATGTTGAGTATGTTAGTAGTATTATCTTTTATTTTTTTTGAGAATGTGGCAAAGAATCCAGAGTCAAGCTCTTCAATTATAGTTTATAGTTGTGGATTTCTAGTTGTCCACATCTTTTATAGAATAGTTCATTACACCAATTTATCGAAATTTGCGATGTAACATCGAGGTGTGCATTTTCTTCAATCCAAAGCAAATCTAAAATTTAAGTAATTTTCTTGGAAAATATTGTCAAGATGTGTTTGTTTTACAGTGAGCCAGGAAAGTCTCTCCCCTCCGAGCTGAATCAGGGCCTCCTTTTAAAAATTGCATGTATGTTGGTAGCAACCAGATTACTGGGAAACAAGTTAAGGGAACAAACTTCCAGCATCTATCATGATTGTGGTGAAAATGCCACTTACATTTGCAAGCTGTAGCAAACGCTACCAACATGATTTCTATTACAAGCACTCTCAGAGCAAGGTGCCACTGTGGAAAGACTTTCCTTACATGCTATATAACAGCATAACAATAAAATATCATTAAAACATGGAAACCAAATCACTGACCTGATTGCTTTGTTATTTTTACAAATATTTGCCTACATTGTTTAGTAAACTGAATAACAATTTTTCTTTGTTTTTGTTTTTTTCTGCTTCTAAAACATCTAAACAATTTCATAATAATATGTTATTTTAATGAAGGTAATTCACCTCCTGGAGTATAGGACCAATGTATCAATATCAAAAGTCCTATAATTGTTATTTTTATTAGAAGAGAAAGAAACACCCATTACTACTATAAACATCTATTACTAGCATTATGAGCATGTAATGAGATGATACAAACTCTACTGAGTACATGTCCTCGCCTGAATCATTATTCTGACATGGAAATGATAGCATATTAAATAGTGGGCCATGAATGTGTGAGATACAGCAGAGTTGTAATCTTGATTGTTGTATTAATAGCATACTGTTTCTTGAATACATTAATAAATAATTGTCACCATTCCAGTCACCTTAATGGACGCAATTATGCTCGGAGAATATATTCCTGTCGTAAAGAAATCCACATTGTGACCATGTTACTGAGTAACAATGCATTCTTAATAATTAAATTTGTTGAACAAATTCTTTATGTTGAAAAATTCTTTGAACAAATTTAATTACATTAATAAATTGTTGAGTATTTAATCATTTCACATGTTATAAAAATGTATTCATAACATTATTGAACTCATGTGCTCCTAGAAGCAATAGAACTACCCATTTCACTGACTTAGCAGGAATATAACAGTTCTATACTTACCTGTTTCACATTATATTTTGAGAAGAATATGGTGTGAGACTGATTTCAGTTCACTACTACAGCATTTCCCTCATTCCAGGCTTAAATTTTCTTTGGATTTTTATTTATTATAGTTCAAAGAGAACTTTCAATTTTCTCTGAACAAGACTTTTTGGAAAATGATTTTCAGTCTTCTAATATCAGGCACACATTTCATATTTCCAATGATTTTTGTAGGAGGTACATGTCCAAGTGTTACTTCTTGATCATGGCTTTCAAAAGTTGGTTTCTTCCAATTAATTCAGTTGACATTTTTTTTCTGTAAGTTTCTCTAGATTTGCCATGTATTTGAATAAATGTTTAAATGCAGAAGAATAATATGATGGAAATTTTAAAAAATAATTTCTTAGAAGCAAAATAATGTTTATATTCAACTTCAATAAGTATGTACAATCCATAATTAGTCATCAATATTATCACACTTATGGCTTCTGTTTGGAGTAAGATAATTGCTGATTCCAAATAAGTTATTAGCTTCAATCTCCAGAATTTTAAATTTTAGAGGTCTTTATACTACTTTAAAACTTACTCGGAGTCAATGCAATATTTTCAGTACTATCAACATTGTTTTTCTTCACTTGAGTGTCTCTTTATGACTTGTGTAATATCTGTTGTGTTTAACCTGGTCAGTATGGACATTCACTACAACAAATGTCAGGTGGAGAGAAACTAACAAGTGTATACTTTGTACAATGTATTTTGACAGAAATGTTTTTGTATTGATGTTTGTCAGTTGTTTTCATGGTAATTGCGTGGATCAGTATTTTTGAGGGTCTTTAAGGACTCTTGGTGTGCAGGTAATATATAGGTAGATAAGTCTTACAAATCTGTGTTGCTTTTGCACTTTTCATAAAATCAAGGCACTTTATTGTATTGCTATTTCATGCCATTTATGCTATTATCTCCTTCTTATATTGAATTCAGAGTGAGATGATTTTTATTTATTTTCTACCATAAATTATTAACCAGTGAATGTAGTAAAGGACATATATGGCATAAGTATTAAAATAATATAATTGAGTTACGGTACTTATTTGCATGCCAACTCGTGAAATATAATTTTAATAAAAGGATTTTTTTATGTGCATTGTAGTTTTTAAAATTCCTGTCATAAATGAAAGAATTTAAATCATGCAACACAAGAAAAACAAAGTAGAATTTTTCCTTAAATTTAATCTAATAAGTTTTGTAAAAATTTTCAAAAAAATTTAGGAAACACATTTTTTCAAGAAAGAATTGTAAATAATATTTTATTGATATTTATTAGGATGCTTCAAATAAGACTACAAAAGTGTGATTGGCTGTGATAATTTTTTGTTGCAGTTTTGAAAAAGTTGATCATGAAACTGTTGAAAAATCTTAAAGAGGGACCAAATGTTATTTATTATAGTGGTCTAATCTTAGCACAAATGTTTAAACTTTGTTCAATTATCAAAAATAAAGATTTGGCTACAAAAACATTTCATCTTTTATTTCTTTCCATCTAAACCACTTTTGTTTCTATTTACCTATTAATTGCCTCTGAATAACTATTCCCTTATAGACTGAATTACTCTTGAAGTGATACAATCAAAAAGATGTTAATACTCTACTGAATTGATCTAATAGTGTATTTGTATAATGGGTTTGGACATTCTTTGTTTCAGGAAAGGACCTACCAGAATTACACATCTTTAAGCTATTAAATAAAAGAGCTTGAATTAAATGTTTTGTCAATCACACCTTTGTTTTTGTCATAGGATTATTTTAATTATTGACATAATTTGAACATTTGTTGAGACATTTGTTCTTTCACTATTTAAAATTTTATGAAAAAAACATTTTTATGTATTTGTTAGAAATAACACGGAATATATGTATCATTAGCATAGGAGAAAACTGCAGCAACATATCGCCACTGATGCAATAGGTGTAGCCATTTAGAGTAGTTTTTTAGCTATGCTAAATGGTAGCTTTATTAGTGATTTCTACTTAAATAACATAATTGCCTAGTGATTGGTGAATTTCTAGCATTTCTTTTAAAATCGGTTTCAGAATCATTTCTAATCACAATTCCCACAGCCCTGATCACAAAAACTTTATTCACTTTCAATAAGAAGTCTTCTGTTTAAAAGAATATTATGTACTGTTTAAATACTGTTAATACCAGTATTGCCACAATTGAAAAGAATAAATTCAAAAAATTAAAAGCAAAGCAAAGCCAAAGCAGAACCAGAAGTTTCAGGAAAATGTTACCATCCTTGAAAGAGCCCATTTAGTAAAAACAAGTTGGTGTAGATGCAATGTGATAATCTTAATTTCAAAATTAAATTTTCACACAAAGAATTTTAAAATGTCAAAACATTGACATGAATTGCACATGTTAATACTTCTTTCAGGCTGGCACTTTTCATTATACTTGTAATGAATTTCCATTCAACATAGGAAATGAAACTGGGTGTATATTTTGTTTATTTGGAATGATGGGAGACTTTGACAAAGTTATTTCACATAGCTACTTTCAACAACATAAATTAGTTTATGTAGCATTTATTTAAAATTATAGTGGCTTTTATGAGTTTGTGGAATCTTTTATTCTTGTTTTCAATAGTGGCAGATGCTTCAACAGCTTCAGTGCACAAGTTACTCTTGAAAATATCAAAATTTTTTTTCTTAAATTCCAAGTTTTTTTTTCTCCAACTACTAGCGTTTTCTGGAACAATTCTCGTTTTTTATGATCATAATGAATAATGTTATAGAGATGAAGTGCAAATGTTCAGGACTTGTAAATTGGAAACTCAATGCCACTAGCAATTTTGATTGTTTTTGAAAATATGACTTTCAACAAATTTTTAAACAAAATTTATCAGTAATTTTCATATCAATAAAAATTCAAATAGATTCAGAAGTTTTAATAAAGACCGTACTTTTACCATATTCATGAGCACAATTTGCCCTATTCAACAGGAAGCGTAATAAAATTTCACAATTCTGACTGCAATTCAAGGTTCTTTCAAAGTTTTAAAGGAGAAAAAGTTCACTGGCCACCATATCTAAGAGCCAAATGTTCTAAGTTTACCTAAGAGCCAAATGCCTAAAAGTTCTCAGCCAATAACATTCTACTGAGTCATTATAATGAATGCTTCGAGATTTTTTTATTTTCAAAAGTGCAGGAACCTCAATGTTTTACTTTCAAGAACCAGAAAATTTGTTAGTATGTTTCTGAGAACTCAATATTTTAATCGTGTACATGGTCATTCACTTTATATTCACATTAGTATCTGTTTACTAGTGCACAATTTTTTGTAATGTCACCATTTCTTTCTCAAGTGGATCATTATTATACAAGAATTGTAAGTTCTTAAGTTATAATAGATCTTCCTCATAAATATCATGCAGAATTAAAGAAAAAGAGCCAAATGAATGTTATTTTATTGCCTAACACACATTACTGAATACCAGAAATATTCCTATTACATTCGGTCCACCTTATTTGAGATGTGATACCTTATTAGTCCTACGCACAATCAGTTGTAAGGAACATTCTTTTAATAGGACAAGGCTGGCTTACCATTACAATGCAAATACATATACAGCTCACTCTCAAAATCAAACCAATAATTCCAAATATGCTAAGATAAGATGTGAAACAAAATGCTGGTAAATAGTGAATTCTTGAGGATAAGAAAAAGTAAGATTTCCCTCTCACCTTCTTTTCAAAATAATACTAGACTCCTGAGTGACTTCCATAACACACAAAGCAATTCAAACAGAATGGGGAAATTTTAAAATTAACATTTTCCAGTCATATTATTATTATTATTATTATTATATAATGAAATAAATAATTAACAAGATTTATACAATGTACATAACGTTTTTTTAGAGAATCAACTTTTACAAATAAAACTACATTATACAAAACTACACAATAGCAACAAAATACCTTTCCATAAAATTCATACAATTGACTAGTTCCATTGCAAAACAATATTCAAATATCTATATCATAATTGGATGAATTTAATAGACCCTTACCATACTGCAGATTTTGATATATACATTTAGCAAAACGGAACCTACAAAATCTCACAATTAAAGTTTGTTTTTTCAGATCATCATCTCATCAAACAATGATGCAGTTGGTTATTGGTTGTTGTTTTGAAACTTCCCTAATTTCCTTGCCATCAGCAGCATCACCAACTATATCAACTACATTTTCAAAGTCAGGAAATGCCATTGTCATGAGTTTTGAATACACAAGTTTTTCATTTACTTTCACTTCAAAGGAACCTTAAAAGAGAACCACAATACAATGTGAGAGACACGTAAAAATTAAATAGTTCAATTATTTACACTTGACTTACAAACAAATAAATAATAACGCACTACCTGTTCGACCTTCTTCTCCCTTAACAGATGCTGAAGGTACTTTTGATTTTATTTGGTCAGCTAATTCTTCAAATTTGGGACGGTACCCGCAACCACCACTATAAAATAAATAATTGTTAAACTCTTTTAGTTGGATTCTTAATTTTTAATCGAAATTTTTCACAAAAATAATATAGTATATACAAGACTTTACAGTTCATAACCTTTACTAACCAGAACTCAACAGACACATTGACAGTCGCTGCCATTGAAACAAGCTAATTATCTTGTAGAAATTTACTTCTACTATCTCTCACAGAAAGTTACAACAGTAACCACCAAAGAAACACGAACTATATAGTACAGACTACAATTTAATTTAATCTTTCAAATTTCCTCTTCGACTTAAATTCACAAATACAGAGGAAATACGCAAGGAACTACACTGTGCAAGAACAATACACCAGAACACCGTGCCGTGGCGTAAATAAGAAACATCTGATGAATCGGTCATTGACGAATCCGCTCAAGAAGACCGCCAAGACCGCTCTGGAGTCAGTCCAGAAACTGAACGAATCGGTCTTGGGCAGAGGAAGACACACCTCTGCACAGCTCCCCAACACCTCCCGTACACCACGGTGTAAAGGCGCGTCCACACGATGCGTCTTTAGTGAGCGGGAATAAAATGCGCAAAGTTGAAAGAAACTTTCAACACGGCGCACGTGCTCTATTCTGTCCACACGGTGCAACTGCGGTGCAACAATATGCGGTGCTTCAGTTCTGTTCTGAACAATAGATCCAGCTATTTGCGCGGCAATTTCGGCAGCTTATTTTATAATCAGTCGATTGACGATACAAAGAGAGAGGCGAATCAAAACAAAAACATGTATATTTGTTCACCTTGGCCCTTCACAAAACAAAGACCTTTCTACTAAGCCTAAAAAACAGGTACAACATTAAGCAGACGCCATGGACGCCACCTTTCCCCTCACTCTCAGTAAAAAGTTATTTTCCAGCTACTTACTCGGTTTCATCGGTTTAAAACGAGCGTTTTGCGGACGTGATGGTAGAGTTGGATGGTACCCTCGCGAAGAAACTGATCAGTCGGGCCACGGTCATTTATTATACATTCATGAGAGGGCACAATGATCTTAATTTCGGCAGTCATTACTATGAGATATGAAATTACAACGAAAGACGTGGGGTACCATGTGTACACTACTTTGGAATACGTAATAATAATAATAATAATAATAATAATAATAATAATAATAATAATAATAATACCTTAATGTACAAATTTTAGGGTCGTATTTACAAACTGCTATTTTTTTAAAACCAGAGGCCTGCGGGAAGTAGCAGTTCCAAAGTTCGATTTTGCTATTTTCGATCGGCTCATAGCGACTTGTAGGCCCCTAGCATGCTCCCAGCAGCGGCTCTCAGCTGGCAGCAGCCCCACAGCCTCCTCCAGGTTGCCAGGGAATTACCTGGCAGCTGTTCGTAAATATGAGCCTTAATCATAACTAGAAATGCGAATGCTGACTTAATAAATAATGAACATAAGCGTGAAGAGTCTTTACTAAAAGTAAAATAAAATTATTCATAGACTACTTGCTACAGAAATCAAGGAATGCGGTTTACAGTAGCGTTGATATAAATGATATAGTTATTTTTTCAAATCTTTCACTTTCCTCTCTCACGTGTTTTCCTCTATAAAAGGAACATTAAACATTTCACAGAAACGCATTACTTGTATAAGGAAGGTTTAGAACGCTATAACGTAACGTAAAACCAAATAAATTCTTTACTTGATTTCTAAGCATCGTAACGTATCTTATCATTACTACATCTACTTAAAACTGTGGTGCTACAACGGTATATTTCGCGCATTATTTTTAGATATGCAATTCTCGAAAATTCAGAGAGTTCAACGAAAATAAGACCCACGCCATTATTTTAAGCGTCCCTTTTTCTATCCGTGAAGAAAATGAAAAATTTGGAGTGATTGTGAGAATTGTTTTTATAAATTGCATAAATTTCAAGGACAATTTACGCGAAAACTACTTGTTTTTTCTCAAAAAATTGCACATGACCTTTTTAAAGAACTACTTTATTGGAACATTCTTTCTTTAAGGGTAAAACCCCATCTTCAATTTTGTAGTTTTCAAATGTTAACTTTTTGCAATTTTCGAAAATATGAGTGTTTGCCGAAAATAGGTACCGTTTCTTGATACATAAGAGAAAATGCAAAAAAATCACTTGTGCCATTTTAGGGAAAATAGATGTTTAAAAAAATCAAATTTACCTAAATTGCGCGTAAAATTACACGAAAACGACTTGAAACGAAATAATGTCTCCCAAAGTCCAGCCCTACGTCCGAGCAATTGAGACTTAGGCCCGTGGGGAGACGGGCATGTCAGAAACACATTTTGGTGGCAACAGGGCGTGGCACACCCATATAGATATGTAGATACGGATTATGCGTGTAAGGCTCGCAAAAGCAGCGCTTGCTGTGGATCGCCGGGGAACTTCGAAGCACCGCTGGAAGTGGAAGCATGCGGCCGTGGTGATCAAGTGAGCTGAACAGGCGGGCCTGATTGGGGTACCGAATATACTACAGCCCGAAATAGCAGCTCCATGCCATCTCCATTAATAGCTGACCTGCCGCAAATTCTTTCCAGAAAGGCAATTTTATTGCTTCCAGAGACCATCCGCAGGCAGGCAAGCAGAAGATGAAGCGGACTTACAGAAATAATACCTTCATCAATGCGTGGAATACTACAACCTTTACCAAATGGAGACTGGACACTACGGTCTACCGACATAAAGTTACACAAACATTTCTTCACCGTTTCCTGGATTCTGTTGTCATGACGTCGCGGGGTGTAAGCATCGTCCTCGGCGCTCGCTAGCTAAGCAGCAGGTAGTTTCATTTCGCAGGTAGTCACGGTTAACAGCTTACACTCAGCGACTGCTTGACGTGCTGTAGAGCCTACAAAGATTGAAAGTATATTTTTGCCTTACTCTGCGCTCAGTGAAACTGTATTAATCTTCTATCTTTAGTATTAATTCGTATTCTATATTTTAAGATCTGCTCTATTGTCTTTTTCCCACTCCTTGCTATTTCTTTCGCAAAGCATCTCTCTAGTTCTTCTCCTGGTTCATCACACTGATTTCCTCTGTATAATTTTTCTTTAGATGACGAAGGCAGCAACAAGAATTCATCTAGTGCAATATTGATCTGGGAAAGTAAAATGCTGCGCAGTGACTGAGGCACTGGATAAGGCCGTAACATTCGGCCCACATTCTTTAAGCTTTTTGCATCTGCGGCTCACTTGCATTAGTTGCCAACGCAACTAGAAGAGTCGATGAATTTACCATAATCTTGTGACATCTTTGGAAAGAAATTGGCTGAACGTGATTGCGGAGATTTTATTTTAAAATCTCATTAGAAGAAAAGGACAGTCAGATTGAGATGTACTCACGCCGAACTGCTTGCGGATATTCGAGCGTAAAAGAAACTTGAATCTGAAGACACGGACAAGCTGGTCATCGAAATGTTGCGGCAAAAAAGATAAGTGTTAATCTAACACTAACTCAGATATCGATTAGAAGTCATGTGTAGGTCGTCAATACTGGCAAAAACAGACATATCATTGGTTAAATTTTGTCAGTTAGCGGAAACGGAACGAATGTCCGCTGAACGGCTGCTAAGCATACTGGATAAACGATTGGCGAGGCATCCGAAAATCGCGCTGGTTTTGCTAAAGCTGATCGAGAGTTTGGCTCAACAGGAACGTGTGGACAGAAAGATGGCAACATGTTATTAAACAAGGTAACGGTCGTGCCGGGTGCAAGACAGGGCCCAGCTAGAGGGCACTTAATCTTAGCGTAGGGCGCCCACCCTTCATCCCCTCTAACCTCCCGACACAACAAGTTGGATTTTTTCCGAGAATCTCGTTCCCTTCTTCTTCTCGGAACATGCATCTGCAAATTCTCTGTAATGACACCTACTTCCTTCCCCTGCACATACCCGTAAACTGTTACCTTGCGGGTGGCGGGCCTTCACCCGACCGGTCCAAGCGTTGGCATATAAATGAGGGGCCTAATCTCGCTCCTCTCTCTGCAGTTGCAACATTAATCAGTCCTCCTGCCCTGCATTTCGAGAAGAACGGAAATAATATCTAAACACGTTTCAGATGCTTCTCATAAGCGAACCTGGTTGAAGCATTCTCTCATTCCGCCTAGTAGGCAATATCAGGGTACGCCTATAAAGCGATGGAAGGCCAAGCGTCGCGCACACGGTGAGGCGTGGTATATAATTGCGATGATCTTAGGCCTAAACTTTACTATCTTCAACAAATACGGATTTGCTGCGTACGATATTCTTTTTATCGAGTTGGACTTTTTAGGGAAAATGTCTCTTGGCTGTAATAATTTTACCTCTAAGACAGGCACATAAGATTGCTGGCGAAACCATTGCAGTCTGCGATAATTCCTAATGAACACGTTGTTATTGTAATGGGTGACTTTAATCATAATTATTAAAACTTCGAGACGCTACAGAAGCTTTTTACGGCGGTTTTTCGCACAGCATGTGCCTTCGGAAATTTTACCTCTAGGACCAGACAACACTCAAAGAAAGAGAACTTGGATTGATTCTTATTATAGTGTCTATGTAAAAAAGTTTTTTTTCGAAAAACACGGCAATTTCCAGTTCTGGGATTTCAAACAACGACCTAATTTATTATCTTGTTTAGAACCTAACGTGCCCTAAATACTTCACACTACATAATAAATACGGGGGATTTTTCAAGCAAAATTTGATAAGCAAGCATTTTTATAGATGGATTGGCACTTCATGGGCTTGTACACGAGAGAAATTGCTGGAGTGATAAAGTAAATATTTTCAACTAACTTAATAACACAGTTACGACGGCTGGCGCCTTTAAAATTTCGCGTGTAACTCGTCTCTGCAATGGTTAACTGCTGAATTCGAAATTTTAATGAAAGATGGTGATGCAGGTATGCAATTTTCGGAAAACTAAATGCGAACTACTTTAAAAAACAGTACAAAATGCTCAGAAATTTAGTTACGCAGAAATGCCGCACGCTTAAAATAAAAATATTACCAACACACTTCGGCAGATAGCAGGCGACTCGAGAGATCTGGAAATTTGAAAAATCTAGGAATAGGCAATAGGTCCTCGCCCAAAATTGAAGCGAATATACCCTTAGAATCATAAATCAAGTTTTTAACAGCGTTTCCTTTATTTGACAGTAAACTTGAAAAAGGCAATCTCTTTTGTTTCTCCAAAACGCAGAATAAAATACACGATAGATTTTTCTTTTCGTCTGTTGAACATCAGGATTATAATAAAATCGTTCAAAGTCTAATCACAAATGCTGTCAGGTTCGATGGTATAATGCAAGCTGCTAAAAATAGCTTAAGATGTGACATACCCATTATGACCGGAATCGTAATTTTCTCACTAATGAGCGGGCAATAATCCTTATCCTGGAAAGACTGGCTCGTGCATCTAATTCAAGACAGCATCCCAAAACCTATTGAATACGCCAATTAGCATCTCCAACTATTCTAAGTATGGAAAAAGTCGTCCGGAACAAACTGAACAGTAATTTCGAACAAAATCACTTTTAAACGATCAGCACTCAGGTTTCCGTTTTCGGAAGAAATACAGGAACGCGTAGCTAAACGTCATTGAAGCGCGAGAACAGCATAGATTACAGTAATATAACTATTTTGG